AGTTTCGACAGAATACAGACCACTTCGAATTATTTTATTCGATTATAGTAACGTGCTTATCACGTTGAGGTGAGCTACGCCGGGATTCGTTTCAGCAAGTAGATATCCATATATTTAAATGGACCTTGCTGAAGCATACGTAATCCTAAAATGTAGCACTGTACTACAGATGGCGTTTACAGCGCCATTTGTCGTATTTTCTACTTATTCTCTAATTCAATAATGAGCAGAATTTATATAGGAATTTCTTCAGAAAAATAAAAAGTGAACAAAAAATTCGTAATGATCCAAGTAGAACGTTATTAATGGTATATGCAGTTATTACAGTTACATATTTATGTAAAACTGTAAAAAGTTATTTTTTCTTGATGAACTTTTTACATTAGTTGACAGACGAATTAAGACATGAAGTGTAGTCGTGTGGTAGTATTTATTAGAATTTTGTTTATTATTTATTTAGAAAGCAATGTGGCTTGAGATACAGTCTCTTAATGTTTTCTTAATCGGAGGAAATTCCGGTAGGTACGGCCCTGGCTTCGGTCTTTCGTCAGCTGTTACCGCCAAACGTAGTTTGTCATAAAAGATATCCTCATGACATTATTCCAACATATCAGCGGGCAGAGACATTAGAGAAACTCGAGTCCGTCATAAATCTACCTAACTGAACAATGACGTCATCAATGCATGAAAGGCTGCAGCCAGGACCGTACCAACCGGAATTTCAGATTAAGAAAACTTTAGGAGCCTGTATGTCAAGCCATATTTGTTTCCGCATGGAATTAATATTACCAGAAGATTCTACTTGGTGAGTACTACTTACCTGACTTAACTTCATGTCTCAACTCGTCTGTCAACTAATATAAAAAATGACCATTAGAATGCCTACTAATATATCAAGTCTAGCAACTTGTATTGTATTCTTTTATAGCTACTGTTTGCTAATTAGTATTGGCGACCAGTTTTCATTATATTATTTCTTGAATTATACTAAATATTCTTTTTGAGAAAAGTTTTGTAAATTGATTTAGATTAGTTAGCATGTACAAGAAGAAGAGTAGTATTCATACATACATCTGTTCCTTTCGAAGTTACTTCTTTTTCTTCTGCCATTTTCAACTTCTCCTCAAGGCTTTTTATTTTTTTACGTAGACAGCAAACGAGGTCATGGCATTTCTTCAATTCTTTACGTAAACTCTCTAATTCATTCTCGTGGTCCTTACTCATATCCTTAACAACTTCTTCGTGGGATCCCTGTATTTTTGCCACTCCATCGCTGAATTTTCGATCCATCTCTTTTATCTGAGACCCATGCTGAGCCTTTAACAACGAAAGATTTTCTTCGTATTTTTTCTTGCAACTTGCCAATTCGCCCTTAAGTCTTTCAAGTTCCTTTCTCAGAGCATCTTCATCTTCAGAAATTTGTCCCTTAAGTGCATTTTCGTACAATTGATTTAATCGATTCTTTTCGCGATTAAATTCATCTTCCATATCTGTAGATTTTTAAATTTATTATGAAACAAATTAATACATTATTAATAAAAGTATTGCAAGACCTTTGTTGGCTTTCCTGCACTTTTCTAGTTCCTCCAGCAACCTTTTGTTTTCTGCATCAAGATCAGCAAGTCTTTGTTTCGCGTCAGCAAGCTGTTTCATGGCTTCAGCGGCTTGTTTTGCCTCCTTGTCCAATAACGCATCTAAATCTGCACCTCCTCCTCCTCCTGCTCCTGCCGCTGGTCCTGCTCCTGCTCGTCCTTGTACGTCTGCTAGTGCTTTTTCACAGGCTGCATTTTTTTTCCGCTCTTCTGCGAGAAGCCTTTCCAATTCACTTGTGCTTCTTCCCACAGGCTTTTGGCCTGCATCGGCCAACTTAGACTGCATTTGATCAAACATTCCCTGAAGCGCATCCTTCTCTTTCCTTGCTTTATCCAACTCAGCTTGACATGCTTCTTGCGCTTTCTTCATATTATCAACACAGTTGGCTAACTCTTTCTTTAGAGCTTCCAACTGTGCCAACAAATCATCACGTTCCTTCTTCATTAAGTTCAGTTCTTGTTGGTTGGCAGCTTGGCCCCTCAAGTCGTCCGCCATTTTCTTTAAGTTGTTCTTTTCACTTTCCAAGTCTGCTTTCTCTTTCATTAGTTGCTTGTTTTGATCACCCAGTACAGCTAGTTCTTTTTCTAAATTAGCAATTTTGCGGGCTGCTTCGTCTTGTACTCGCTGAACTTCATCTTTAAGTTTACTGTTCTCTGCTTGCAGCTTGTCAAGTTGATTCTTCATCTCCGCAAGTTTCGCTGCAGCGTCATCTTTTGCTGTCTGCAAATCTTTCTTGAGTTGGCCGTTTTCCTGCTGGAGCTTGCTAAGTTGGTTTTGTAAATCTGCAAGTTTTGAAGCAGCATCGTCCTGCGCGCGTTTTAAATCTGTCTTGAGTTGGCTGTTTTCAGATTGCAATTTGCCCAATTCAGCCTGTAAGCCGGCGATTTTTTGGGCAGCTTCGTCTTGTACACGCTTTATCTCGCCTTTCAACTTCTCATTTTCAGCTTTCATGTTATTTAAAGCACTTTCCAGATCGGCAAGTTTTCGTGCTGCTTCATCTTGTGCCTTTTTAAGATTTGCGTTTTCTGAATTCAATCGTTCTAGTTCCTTTTGTAGGTCGGCGAGTTTTTTCGCGGCATCGTCTTGAGCCCTTTGTAAGTCGGTCTTAAGTTTATCGTTTTCCGACTGCAGCTTGCTCAGTTGTTGCTGTAATTCGGCTAGTTTTGCTGCCGCCTCGTCTTTGGCTCGTTGCAAATCGCTTTTAAGCTGACTGTTTTCTGCCTGTAACTTGCTCAGTTCTTGTTGAGCACGCGCAGCATCGTCTTTTGCCTTTTGTAAGTCCGCTTTTAGTTGAGAATTTTCACCTTGAAGTTTCTGTAATTCGGCTAGTTTTTGCTGCAATTCGTTTTTCAGTTTATCATTTTCCGATTGTAAATCGGCTAATTTACGGGCTGCTTCGTCTCTCTCTTTCTGAGCCTGAGCTAATCGCGCTTTAAGGTCTTCCAGCTCTTTTCGCAAATCGTCGCATTTTGATAGATCGCCCTTTGCTGAGGATAATTCGTCCTCTTTTTGTTTCAATTGTGCCCTTAATCGTTCAAGTTCTGCCTTTAGATTGTCTATGTCAGACTTCAGACCGCTTTCTGCTGAACCTTTTTCTTGCAATTGCGCTCTGAGCCTGTCCAGCTCTGCTCTTAAATCGTCACCTGACGATTCTTTATCACGTAACAATGCCTTTAGACGATCGAGTTCCGCTTGCAAATTGTCTTGTGATTTATTTTTTTCGTTTAGTAACGCTTTCAGTCGTTCAAGCTCTGCATTTAGTGCATCGTCCACGCCAGGCCTTGCGCCACCAATTGCACTTTGTAACTCCTGATTTTGTTTCTGGAGATCTTGTATTTGTTTTCTTAATTGGGCACAAGGATCGCCACTATCTATGACAGCTGGTTTATCGTCGATTCTGGAGGCATCGGCAACACCAGAGACATCGGCGACACCAGAGACTTCGGTGGTACCAGGGACATCGGTGATTTCAGTGGCAACGCCGGTGCGTCCTTCCAATAGTTCTTTCAGTTTTTGGCATTCACACTCGTTTCCAACATTACCCAGCTGTCTTGCTAAGTCTTTGATTTGATTTTTTAACAAACGATTTTCTTGTTTAACACACTCGAGCTTTTTCCGCAAGGCCGTACAGTCGCAAATGCTCCCCAAGTCCTCTTCGTTGTTCATGCAGCTTTTAGTGATCAGTTGTTCAACAACGTTCTTGTCCTTTTGAACTTTTTCGAGTTGATCCTTCAGTTTACTGCAAACTTCAGCTGAAGATTTACATATTCCGCCCTGTTGCATATCGCACAGTTGGCTTTGTAAAAATTGACACGTGTCGTCGATAGCTAGGGAAGCTGTTTCAACGCCTTTACGAAGATTTTCGTTATCGTTTTCGAGATTCAGAATCTTTTCATTCAAATCTCTCAGCTGGTTCAAGTACATTTCGTCTGCCTGTCCTCCTTTTTCAGCAGCTTGACGCAAAAACTCATTCTCACGCTGGTAACGCAACATACAAAGCTTGGTATCTTTCAGTGAAGCTTTCAACTTTTTATTTTGCTTTGTGAGTAGATCCAGCTTATCGGCTCCGTTTCTCATTTTATCCCACTCGTTGAATTGTCTGCACAGTTCTTCGTTTAATTTTTCTGCCGTTGCGTACGATTTTTGCATTAAATCCGTAAGGTGTTGATCACCTGAAGCGTCCGCAAGATCCTTTGCGACTTTTCGTAACTTTTCGTTCTCTTGAGTCAGAAAACATATTTTATTTCGTAGCTTTTCGAATATGCACCGACATAATTCATCTTTTTGTAGAAGGAATGATTTTATCTTCCCAACAGCTTCTTCTTTATCAATAACATCGCATCTGAGTTGTTTAAGCTCATCGTTCTTTCTAGCCATATCACATTTCAGTTGCGCATTTTCAGCTATGAGTAATTTGTTTTCATCGGTCGCATCTTCGGCTGCTTTCTTGCAGTCCTGAAGTTCATTTTGTAGTTGCTCAATGGTACTTTGCATCGCTTCTTCTCGGGCTGCAAGTTCTTTAATTTTATCATATGCACATTGGCACGAACTCATGTACTGTTCGAGATCTTCCTTAAGTTTACTGTAGGCAGCTTTACAGCACTCCTCCTTTCTTTGCAACGATTCTACCATTAAAGTCTTCTCTTTGAGTTTACTCCTAAGGCATTCAACTTCGCATTCCGCTTTGCTATGACAGTCTTCTAGATCAGTAATATGGGTTTTAAGAGCACTCTTTTCACCACACAACTCTTTAATTGTACCACTCAATTGATCTTGCAGATTCTTCAGTTGTTCTTCCGACGCCTTAATTAATTCGTTTTTCTCAATTAGCTGTTCTCTTAAACACTCGATCTTTCTTTCAGATTCTTCCTGAAAATTGTTACAAATTTAACAAATATTTCACTATTATCTAAGACATGAAAGAAAAGCCGACAAAATACGTTGTATGTTTTTGTTGTAGTTTGTCCAATCCCACCAAGAATAAAAATTAAAAAATAAGCCTGGTTACTTTTTAGTATTTATATTTGTACTAGCGACCCGCCCCAGCTTTGCACATTGCTGATACTAAATATATTTTAAATATATTTTTGTTTTGTTTAGATTATTATCGAAAAGGGGAAATCTTCAAAAGACACCCCCTGAAAATAGTAAATATACTACAGAATGTCTTTATATACAACATTCACAGCTTTTTTGTCATTAGACAATACAAAACGGCAATCGCAATGTCCCTGTATTTTAAATCTGCAATATCTTCGAAAATATTCATTTAAATTAGATGCTGTAACGAACCACATTGATCTATATTAAATACACAATGTATTTAAGGTACTTAATTGGATAAGGATTAATGCTGTGTTGCTTACAATCGCTTCGTAAATAAGCCATTATTTCTCATAAAAAGTAAAGGATAAAAAATGGTTATTATGGGTTATCCTTAAGAGATAGACATACCAAAGCGGACTTTTTTGTAGACACTTTTAAGGTGTACAATACTGTAGTATATAATTTTTATAATCACGTAAGGTTCACCTCCGTTTGCAATGTAAGCGTAAAAAAATGTGTTTATGTACGACATCAGATTAGAAACCTCTAAAATTATCAGTGTTTCTCTATTATATTATGCATGTATTATACATATAAACCTTCCTCTTGAATCACTCTATCTATTAAAGGAAACTGCATCAAAATCCGTTGCGTACTTTTAAAGATCTAAGCATACATAGGGACAGACAGCGGGAAGCAACTTTGTTTTATACAATGTAGTGATTTCAAATCCCTTGTGTACCAAGGATGAAAATTGTGTCAGTGGAGAAAATGTTTTGTGTGCTTTTCTTTACAGGTTTATTGAATATACTACCTGCTGCTGCGATAAAGTTTCGACTTTGGTAACCAGAGTTTTAATTTCTGTCTCTTGATCTTGTATGACACATTCACATTCGCGAATTTGAGCCACGAGCGCGTCCCGCTCTTCAAATATTTTCTTCGCTTGCTCAAGTTGATCTTTCATATAATCCGTTTCCAATTCTATGCCGACCATTTCATCGTATTTAGCTTTATAAGTATCTCTCTCGGCTTTAATTGTTTCGTAGCATCGTGACGTTTCCAAAAGTTCCATAAATTCGCCCTCTATCGCACCTAATTCGTCGACCCGTTTGCGCAGGTCATCCCTTTCTTTGAATAATGTACGGACGTCGGCAGTGTCTATTATCGGTACATCAGACTCGTACTTATTTCGCAGCATATCTCGTTCAGCTTTCAAACTCTCCATAATACATTGCGTTTGCTCCAATTCCATTTCCATATTTTGCGAACAACACTTAACGTTTTGAAGTTCTTCTCTACACTTTTCCAAAGCTTTTTGCAAGCATTCAGCTTTGTCTGATGACTTCCTCAATTCTAACACTTCTTTTTCTAGTTCTGCAAATTGAGACAGACGTCCCTGTACTTCTTGCCTTTCGCTGTCGTATTCGTCGAGTACGCTGCTTCGTTGTTTGTATTTCTCCAACTTTTCGGGAAGATCCTGGAAGCACTTAAGTTCTTCCTCAAGTTGGCAAACTCTTGCCTGTAAACAGTTTCGTTCTTGTACGATCTCCTCGTGGTGCTGCACCTTTTCCATCAATTGGGCGCAGTATGATTCGAAGTCTGACAATTTTCCACTTGCGATTAAATGAGTTTCCAATTGACATATTCTTGCTCTAAGACAATTTCTTTCTTGAACGATTTCTTCGTGATGTCTAAGTTTCTCTTCGATTTTGATATCTACAGTGGCGAATTTCAGTTGCTTCTGTAACTGACACACTTTAGCTTTAAGACATTGTCTTTCGCGAACAATTTCTTCGTGGTGAGCCATGATGTCACCTAGTTGGCCTCCTTGATTCTTTAAAGTGTTATTTTCGGCTTCGACTTTCTTCAACTGCTCTTGCAACTGACACACCCTACTTTTTAACCAATCCTTCTCTTCAGCATTCTCACCAAGTTGACAATCATACTGCTCTACTTCACCTTGTAGTTGCTCCACTTTCTCCTTCTCTTCGGCTATTTCATTACAACACTCTTTCAACCTGTTTTTTAATTCTTCCACCCTTTGTTTAAGAGCATTGTTTTCCGCCAGTAAATCGCTATCAGCACCTTCAGTAAAATAAAAATATTTGATACTATTATGAATCATTTGAGAAATATCAGACTATGCAATTGTTAATAAATAGTTGATTAATAATTATAATTTGAAAATACTCAATGACTAATCTTGATTTTTAGTGTAAATGGGATATAAAATAATTTGAACCAGTATGATATATAACATGAGATTAAATTAAATGCGAATAAACAATTAAAACGTAATTTATTGCACCTTGTTTAAGACGTTCGTTTTCATCTTGTATAGTTGCTAGCTTCTCGCAATATTTTCTCAAAACTCGCAACTCCTTCTGCATCAATTCTGCTTCTTGGTCAGCTGTCAGAGACCTTCCCCTCATAGCATCAATTTCTTTTTCTAATATTTCTACGTCCTCCTGACAAGTAGCACCTTCCTCAAACTTCAGTTGTGGCCTCTTAAAAATAATTACGATTTTTTCAATATTATACAGGAAATCCATTTAATAATTATGCGAAAAGTATTTAAAAATTTTGTTGAGATAGTTGTTTCAGCTAAGAACTATATACAAAAACAAAAAAATACAACGTGTAATTATACAACACGCTACGGAAGTGGAACTTCTTCAAACACACAAACATACCGGGATAGGGGTTAAGGAATTAGTTTAATGGTATTATTTGTACACTATGCTTCGCACGGGTGCAATGCTGATAGTAAATATACTATAGAATGTCTTTATATACAACAATCACAGCTTTTTTGTCATTAGACAATACAAACCGGCCGGTACCGCCGCAACCGCTATGTCCCTGCATTTTAAGTCTGTATTAATTCGAAAATATTCATTTAAATTACATGCTGTAGAGGGCCATATTGATCTATATTAAATGCACAATGTATTTAAGGTACTTAATTGGATAAGGATTAATGCTGTGTTGCTTAAAATTGCTTCGTAAATAAGCCACTATTTCTCGTAAAAAGTAAAGGATAAAAAATGGCTATTGTGGATTATCCTTAAGAGATCGACATATACCATCGCGGACTTTTTTGTAGACCTTTTTAAGGTGTACAATACTGTAGTATATTATTTTGATCTACTTCATAGGGTAAACCTCATTACACATATTAACCTTCCTCTTGAATTACTCTATCTATTAAAGGATACCGCATTAAAATCTGCTGCGTAGTTTTAAAGATCTAGGCATACATAGGGACAGACAGCGGGGGAAATGCGTTGCATGATTTCGTTACATAGCAGCTCGCATGAAACGAACTTACCCTACCGTGCGTAAAGAAGTTTCACTTCAAAAATGAAATTTTTTTTTTAATATTACTGCTTCGGATGGCTGTGATGGTGTTGTTTCACTCCTTGTGGCTCTGCTTTCGGTTTCTGTTGCACCTCTTGTTGCATCTCTTGTTGCACTTTCTGCGTAAGAACTTGGACTAGCCTCCCTTACCTCTCCACCCTAAATTTTGAATAAATGCTGATTTACTAATGTATGTAAAATGCATTTACAAAAATTTGTTTATTTTTTAACTTTATATATGGTCTAAAAAATATTTTATCAAGCACTTTAAATAATTAAAACTAATTTAATTGCGTTTTTATTTCTGAATTAAGAACTAATGATATTATATCATCGGAGTTACAAGTGATGTTTAAAAATATTACCCTCTGGGGCAACTCTTTTAATTGACTTTTTTTATCGTCGGTTAAACCACCACCTCCCGCTTTACCCAATTGTTTCTTAAGATCTTCTATTTCTGCATTTTTGTTTGCCAACAATGTTGCTATTATTGCATCTATTGGCACGTACCTGCCCATACCCTGAAAAAAATATTACAACAAATCGTTTAATCATATTTATACAAACTACGAACGGGCAGAATAGGAACATTCGGCACGTAATATTAAAAAAAATGAATAGATTATACCAGCGAAATGCTAATGTATTTAGGTACCAAGTTTTATCTTACACTATTTGTTAACAGTAGTCCTATCTAAATCTACCTCTGCCTCTGTTAACTCCTGTCTCTGCGTCTAATGTCTCCAAGTAGGCCGTTCATGTTTGAGAAGATACCCTACTAACCTGTCTCAACTAGATATTTCTTATTCTCTTCCCTTGTCATTTATTGTTGAATAATATTAATCTATACGCAATCTCTCAATAATGTTACTATAAAAACGGAAAGTAAAATAAATGCGTTAATAAGAACAGAACAATGCCGATTATTCTTTTTAATTTTAGGTTCCTTCGGGGTCGCATATTAAGTAAAATTGGAACTATTAAAAACTTAATCGAATTTGATCCATTTTTTCGTGAAAAAATGAGTATTACAACCAAGTTCATTTGTGTACATTAGTTATTATGTATATATAATAGTTATCTATAGGTACTATAATTTTTTTTTAAAACAATATTTCCATCATTAATACCGTCATTTGTTTTCATTACAGAATGGACTTTTGGAGCTTGTAGATACTCGGCAATTCCCCATTACAATCATTCACACTGAACAAAAAAGGTAAGTCCTCCATATTCAACAAATTCAAAATTAAAATTTACTATTACTTCTATGGTTTATTTGTGTAAGATATACATGTTGACTGATAATCTTTTATAACAAAATATCAACGAAAATGTGTACAATTTTATTAGATGCAATATTTTCTAAATTTCAATAAAAGTTACCAAGTAATGTAAGGTGCAACATAGACATTAATAAAAACTTGGAAACATCCTATACAAACAGTGCATGCAGTTTAGGCCTCATTTTGTAAAAAATATTCTCCGAGAAATCACGCTTTCCAAATAGGTATCACTCGACCCCCAATTAAGTAACAGCCCTTATGAGGTTGGTATTGTTTTAACTTTTATTCATAACTATTTATTTCTAGACTAATATGTTAGGTAACTAAAGTATTACCTTTTGATGACCAGTTTTTATGATATCCAAAATATATTGTCTGCGATCTTCATACTCGTCGGTCCAACATCTTGCATCTGTTGCCGAACTGTAGGTTTTCAAACGACCTTCAGACCTTTGGGGAAGCAAGATAACTTCCCCTGGCTGCTTAAAACTTCGATCTTTCTTCGCTGCGTACGCCATTTCACACCTACACAAAATTGAACACTAAAATTTCAATTCTTCCCGTGTTCTGGTTTTGGATATTAACATTCGTTGAAACGAATACGTCAAACTGTTATGTTTGTCAGAATGCAACAAGAACAAAAAACAAAACAAGCCTTGATGATGAAGCCAACTGTTTTACAATTGATTTATTTTACCATAAAAAAAAGACTAAGATTTTTACAAACTTTATTCAAAAGTAATAATACTTCGTCAAACGTAGTATTCATCAGACTTGGAGTAGGTGGATTGTTTCTGCCCCTATTTTCTGGGCAGTATCTATATTTATTTTTTTTTT